ATGGTAAATGCACCACATAATATGGTAAATGCACTACATAACATTACAAATGCACTACATAACAAGGTAAATGCACTACACAACATGGTAAATGCACCACATAACATGGTAAATGCACTACACAACATGGTAAATGCACCACATACCGTACATTTGTATCATTGTAAATGCACTACACAACATGGTAAATGCACTACATAACATGGTAAATGCACTACACAACATGGTAAATGCACCACATAACATGGTAAATGCACCACATAACATGGTAAATGCACTACATAACATAATATTTTACGACTTAAGATAGCTGTGGCTTTCCATAGGGTATCATTCTCTTACTGATGTTGTTTTTTGTTCATTTGTTTGTTTATCGTCTGTTTGGTCGTTTTCAAGGGATGCAGTGTAATTGTAGAATGACGCTTTGTCAGTCATTAACTCCGTTTTCTGGAATTAGATAAATAACTGCAAATTTGCAGATAGCTTGGGTATGTTTTTATCTACTCAACAGGCAAATTTGTGGGTAAAAATTATTTTCCAGCTCAACTAATTTACCTCTTCTGTTCAAATATGGTGCATTAAACAGTATTTCTTACTTCAGACACATTCAATTATATAAAATTAGGATTCAACCAAAGGTCTTCTTTCCTATACTAGTATGTTGTTTTATGGGTGTTTGAATGTATCAAGTAAAACCAAGAATTAAAATTAGAATTTCATGAAAATTCAATTATTTTGAACACCAAACAATGAACAAAATAAAATTACGTAACCGGTAATAAATAATAAGACGTACCCATTTTCTCATTCTTCTGAGATTCATCTAGTTTATCCCGCAAACTTCTAAATCCAGAATCCAATTCATCCCCCATCTTTTGCTGACCTGTATTTATAACAGAATTAGATTAATTGGGTTGATATATCATTAAAAGGATCTCTGATGGCATGAATACCACTTGTCTACTGAAAACTATTTGATATTGACTGAGAATGATATATGGTTCTGTTCGAATATAGTATTTTTCATATTATTGGATATTTGTATATATTTATTGTCATAGATAGTATATTTAAAATTTAGCAACGGCTTTCGTATTATTATTATTATTATTATTATTATTATTATTATGGTTTTAATTCCGACATAGTATTGTAGCAGCGACTAGATGGTTGGCAATTGATAAGCTGTTACTCGATTTGTAAATATTGTTGTATGATTGTGATACTGTTCGTGTGCGCACTATCCCCACTCAATCATTTTTTTCTCGCCATGAGGTAAGGGTGGCATGTTTTTTTCTATTTTTGTCCTTGAATCGACTGGAGCGTGGTTATTCTAGGAGTGTGTTCACTTGATGTGTGTCATTATGGCTATTGCAAAGGGAAAATATAAAAATTAATGTTAATTATACAATCGAATATTAATTAATTGGTATATAATAAATACAGTGACGTGCGTACCATTCGACAGGTGAAAAAAGATACATTATTGTATATTATTAAATATATAAAAATTCAATATTTGATGAAGTTGAAAATGTTACATAATTTACGGGTTGCATAAAAGTGAGCCTATTAACAGGTTTTAGTAGATTAATAAGGTATAATTTATTTATAGACATTGGCACTACAATTTCTAAAAGATTTGGCTTGAATTATTATTAAAAATTAAATTAAAATAAATCAATTATTACTGTTAACTCGACTAGTGTGAAAAAAATAATAACAATAAACATTTCCAAGTTTGATCCACATCAAATGGTCGGTATGGTAACTCCCATAAATTACATCATGCAAAAAGCCCACTAATTTACATATATATAATTAGAAATGAAGATTAATGTTGGTCTACAGATCACAAAATACAATTATAGACAACAGTGTATTTCACTCATAAAGGAAATAAATAAATGAACAACAAACTAGTAAAAAGCATCATCACATATCGTAATACAAATAAAGCTGGTACTCCCTAAACGTAGCAGTCCACCGTATTAAAGGCTCTTGGTTTTCGCAAAAATTACTTTCGCGATTCTAAGGATTCAAACACAATATAACCATCCCTGAAAAATGTTGATTTTATGCGGATTACGTTGATACACAATGATTGTTTGAAACCTATATGAACTGACAGGTTGCTTGAGCTTTAGTCAAACTTTAGTTAAACTTCATATTAAAATGTATTGGTACGGAATCATTCTACTTCAAAATGCGTGCACTTATTTAACAATTTATATATCAACAGTTTTTCTTACAAATTTGATATTCAAATGTGATTGTGGCCCTCTGTAGTTTAGATCAGTTTCTTTATTTCTGTTTCATTTGTGTCGCAGAGGTCGCTATTACAAAAATCGTGGTTACTGATTGGGGTGTTCGGTATGTATTCAAAGTAGTCTATTGACAGTTTCCTGGTGTATTATGTAGCATCAAAATATTCATATAACTTGTTTTTAAAACCCACTTGTTGTGCGGCTCTTATTTTTGGTGGGATAGCCACTGTATGGTTTTGGAAACTGATATGTGTCATTATGTGCAAACAATTGTGGTTACATTGTTCCTAGGTATGAATATGCGAATTGATTTTTTTCTCTGTTCACGTCGTGCCTGACGAAATGCATAAAACTAATAGTATTTCGGGGATCTCGGTAAAAGATGTTACATATGTGACTCTAATGTTAAACTTCTGCTTTATTAAATAATTTTGGAATTGATTTTAAGTGTTTTTTGTCTGTTTATTATGTATACAGTGCACCGAAGAGAGGTTAAAGCGGGAGGGTCACCTGCGCGCGCACGGAAATTGAGTCCCAAGCGACGTTAACAACACACGCTAAAAACGCAAAGGCTCATGGGTAGACGTTTGTTTGTAAACAATGACATGCTATGGCCATCTGACGCATGCTCAGTTGAGAACTCCCACGCTGTAAATCGAATTACATAGATTTCATGTTTTGAAATATGGTAGGCCTTATGCAATATACAGTTTTAGCTGCATTGAACAACATTTTTCATGTCTAACATATCTGATATATGGGATATGTCACATATTTATCATATTTTGAAGTTACATATTTTATTTTTATAAATGAAGAATTAACATATTAACCTGCGAAGACACGAAATTTACCGAATAGACCCGTGTAACAATTTCATGTTTTGGCATATCAAAAGATTTTGGGGTTGAATGAGGGAAGTGGGTTATTTCAAAAATGCATGTTATATAGGCGTTTGGGGTTATCTGTTTAAGGCCTTGTGTTTTAACAAATTATTTCAAAACACCTTCCGTAAATAGAAAGTACCTTTTTAAGCCATCACAACAATTAATCCGTAATGGGTGAAATTTCCCAAACAAAACAAATTTAAAAATAATATGACAATTCAAAATATATATGTTTATTGCAAGAAAAAATTGATTACTTGAGAATTTAATGTACTTGAAAATCAAACAGATGTCAATTAAATTCCAGATGTTCAGAATTACAATACTATAAATAACCCCCTAAATTACCTTCGCTTAGGTCCTCTAATACATCCACTATTTGTTGCCAATCCTTTTCTTTGTCTTTATGGTCTTCCTGGAGCTTTCGTTGTTGTTCAAACATCTCATCAATTCTGGCCTTTGTAGCTGCTTCCAATCCCAAAGACAGCGCCGAAGCAAGGCCATCCAGTCGCTTATTGAAGTTATCAAACTCGTCCTTATAGTCTCCTCGTTTCCAAAGCTTAATGACGGCGTGGGCTTTCTTGAATTCAAGAAGAAACTCTTTCGCTTCTTGCAGGCATGTGTCGAGCTTGATCAGGGCATCTTCATAAGTTGCAGAATCTGTGTCATTCAAATCCCGAATGCATTTGAGAGGATCAACCAGACATTGTACACGAATCGAGAACCGTAAACTACGCTCTTTGTTTGCCTTCACTTCTTGAGCAATAGCGTAAATATCGCGAGCAACTTGCAAAACTTGCAGCGCAGTGTCCGCCATATTGTTGCTACATGCCTGAATGACTATAGTTACACCACAACAAGCAAACACTGCCTATAACTTTTCCGTCAATTGGAATGTTCCATTAACTGAGATCCATGTGGGTGTGCCAGATTCACACTCAGTGGTTTTATCATGGGATTTGTTCGAATCGAATTTTAAAACGACTTGGACTTCTTTTATCTACCATGGTTGCCTGACCGTCTTAGAAAGCTTGTCATCAATGGCACAGTCCCTCTCTCCCTCCTAAGTTAATGCTTCCGGTCCCTATTAGATGTGGTATGTTCCTTTACTGAGAAAAATGTTTCCAGGAAGTAATGCTGCACACATTGTATTTCAAATCTAAGTATAAAGGTCGTGTCATTGTATAACCTGCTTAAGGTGTAACATGGTTTTAGTAACTTTTCAGACCAACTAGGTTTTTAAGGGTTTATTTCCCCTTATACATTTGTGATTACTGTGATGTTACCCAGTAAAAATGTCTTGGCAGACGGGTGATTGAACGTCATTACAAATCTGTCGGCGTCACAATTTTATAAGGGTTTAAATTCTTTCACGTATTGCTGGGGCATTATAATGTAATGTAAAATGTAGTTGCTTCACACCACATTTATGACATAAAACTTATGACATATAAACCTGTCCAAGTTTTATTTTTACGAGCAAACTCAAAGTACACCTGCTTAACAATAATTGTTTTAGTGTGGGAAATACAGTACAGGTTACAGGTCGTTTTTTACCGCCATAAGGAGTCACTTTAATCGATATCAAAGGCATTCAAAAAACTTAAATAGTCAGACCGGTCAGTGATAGCATAGTGGTTGTTGCAGCAGACTCATGATTCGCACACCCAATTTCAAGCTCAACAGGTGCTTGTGTTGGACTGAGCCTGGTTGACGCGAGGATAGCGCATTAAATTGCCATTTGATAGAGAGATGGCGGCACAGAACTGTAATGTAGTCCAGGACATGCATATGGCTTCTATGGCAAAAATACACAATGTGTCAGCACTAGAACTTGCAACATGCACATACAAAAAAATCAGGAGAGACAACAGGGACACTTAATGAATTGTCGCCGAGAACAAAAACATTTAAAAAAGAAAATAACTTAAATAGTAAGTGGCTGGAGTTTAAAATGACTCTGGATTAGCCGAGGTATATCCTATATTTGGATTTTTAAATTCGTTATATGCTGTATGTGTTATAATACATGAAATAAAATATTGCGTACTACAATTACAAGTGGTGAAATTTTGTGGGAAGTGGTTATGAGAGATGTTGGTTAGATGTTGTGCATGTTGGATGTCTACTCGATCAGACACCCTCTAAATTCCGCCAATCGGAATGTTCCATCAACTGAGATGTGTGCG